AGACAAACTTTCAGGAAGGGCACACTTAACACGTATCATCATTACATGGCAGAAATCCAAATGAACTGCCTACAAGGGTAAAGGGTTCTGTCTTCATGGGAAAAGTAAATTTCAAGGGAGATACCTTGTAAATAACAGATTTGTAAATTCCTATGCATCTGCAATCTATTTCTCAAAAATGGTTCTGTCATTAAACTTGTCTGTTGACCTCTTTTCACTTTTCCTTGCCTCTCTGATTTAGGCAATTTTCCTTTTCACCATGATGCACCTACCATCTCTTTGCTCCTCGAACCAGTTTAATTTTTACAAAACTAATCACTTCTTTTTTCTCCTCTCCTTAATTTGATAATGCCTCCAGATAATCCTGCCAGCGCACATTTGTTGAGGGACTGACACTCCAGACTTTCTCAATCTCAGCTCCACAGCCCGTGAGGCAGAGACAGAGTACTCCAGGCTTGTCCAACAGCACTGCAGTGGAGCTGGGATTCAAAGCCAGGTCCGCCTGGAAACTCCAAATCTCTGCACTCTGGTCACCAAGTTAAACCCCTCCTACCAGACAGGCCAGCTCCCTTCCTAAACTAAGTGTTCATTTCTCCAACCTTCTCCATTAACCACGGTCATCGTCTTCATTCACTGCAGTACCTATGAAAACCCACCTATATTCCCTTATCAAAAATCTGTTTAATAATCCTATATTGAGTAAGCTATGTCGGGCCTAGAACACACTAAAAAGGGGGTGGGGTGGAGAAAAAGAAGGACGCAGATAGGAGAAGGAAAGCAATGAGATAAAGAGAATAGAGGGGCAAGTGCCCTGACTAGTGGTGGGCATCCTGGAGCCCTGCCCCTGCTGCCCAACCCGTCACCACGGAATCCAAAATGGGAGTGGCCACCGGACCCTGCCCAGTCCGTCCAGGGCAAGGCCACTCCCTGAACGGCCAAGGTGACTTCCTACAACTTGCCTCAGGGGCAAGCCTGGTTTCATGGAGCAAGAAACAAAAAGCTCTGAAAAAAGGTATTCTGCATCAACCGCTAGTTTCAACCTTTTCTTTCTTTCTTTTTTTTTTTTTACTATGGCCAGGCTCCAAGTTTCTAAAGCTATCAGTGATATAATTAGTAAGTGACAGGGAAGAAAGTTCTAAACGTACGTTTAGACGTTGATTATTTTGTAGAGAAAGATGTGGCTTCAACTCAAATCCACAAACAGTCGTGGATGTGGGAGAGACACTGGGGCTACCCAGCCCGCCAAGGCCTGGTTTTTGTCCCCAAGTAGGGGCATAACCAGGGGCCCCTGTCGGGCGCTCCTGCGGGCTGGTTATGCTTCCATGATGCATGCAACCACTTCTTTTTACTTTTAACTCACGAGTAGAAAACAAAACCAGATCCACCCTCCGAAAGTTCCAAAAGAGCAGGTGCGGGGGGGGGGGGGCGCCAGCCCCGGCCTGGCCAGCCTTCCAAGGTTTAATGGCCCGACGTCTGCAAAGGGATAACCAACCGCCCTGAGGACAAAGGCGGCCGGGGCACGCCCCAGCGCCGGGCGCCGCTACCCGGGGCCGCACCGAGCGGCGGCGAAGCTCTGGGCTGGTTTTCTAGACCAAAAAGCTGACAAGCTGCCCCCACCGGACTTGAGCGCTTCCCTCCAAGACCCGCAACTCTTTGGGGCCGTTCAGCAGAGAGAGCCCGCGTCTCGCCTCCCGCCCGCGCGCCCCGCGCCGCCCTTGGGAAGCTCTCCGGGGCCGCGCGCCCCCCCCCCGCCCCCTCGGCCTACCTGCAGGGGGAGCCTCCCGGAGCTGCGGCCCGGAGCTCATCGCGTCCCCTCGCGCAGCGCCGACGCCCAGGCGGCCTCCCCTTCCTGCAGCCCGGAGCCCGCAAGCCCCCGCCCCTTCCTCCGCCGCCTCCGCCCTCGCGCCGTCCACGGCCCGCGGCCTGGCGCCGGCCGTCCTGGGAGTGGGTGGGAGCCGCGCCTCGGTTCGGTGCCTCCTGCCCGCCGAGTTCAGGCTCCTGCCCCTCACTCCGGAGCTCGCAGGGCCCAGAGCGCCCGGGGAGGGCCGAGGGACGCGGTCTCGTCCGCCTGGCGCCTGGAGACGAGCCCGGCCCTCGGGTTATGCCGGTTGCCACCCCGAGGAGACACGGCGGGCTGTTTCAGAGCACCTGTGCGGAGCCAAGTGCTCGCCGGCCCCGCCTCCAGGGCTCGCGCTTCCCGACCGCCTCCAAGGTGGAGGGTGTAGTGTTTTCCTGTGTCACGGGCAGTCCTTCCCCAGGGACGGTTACTTTATTGGACCTGTAATGATTTCTCTTAAATTCTCTTTGGGGAATTTGGGGCAAAGTAAAACTGGAGGCAACCCTAGGATTTAAGTCTGGCTTTCATAGGTAAAGTTAATTCAGGGAAGCAATCATGCAGAAATTCGGATCCCGAACTTAGGAGTGTACAGGTGAAGATTTGTAGAGCCAGAGCCTGTTGTCCTCACTCATAAAATGCCCGAACAGTGCGCTAATTGGGCGCGGCGGGGAGCTCAAGGCTGCATTTAACCGAGCTCCGCCTTACGGGGTGGTTGGCTATTGTGTAAATTTGCTTCAAGGAACAACTCAAGTTCGGATGAAAAGGTGGCTTCATCTTTTCTAACTTCTCTGGGCCTTGTCATTTAAAAAGTAACCATCTTCAGACTGAGAAAAATGTGTTAAGGCATCATTTCTAATACATTAAAATAAGTATAAGAAATCCGTCTAAATATTACCCTATTGGGGAGAGAAAAATAAAATTTAACGTGATAACTTTTCCCACGTGTGCGCGGTCATTAACAAGAATATGAAATCAGGATTTTCCTCATCCCATGCCATTTACTACTGTTCATTTCGCTGTATGCGTATTTCAGAAATCTATTTTAGTAACTTATTCTGTAGTTAAGACAGGAAATAACATTCTCTGCCTTATATGGTTTTGTAACGATAAAGTGAAATGACTACTTAAAACAGTGCCTGGCTTCTGTTACCACCATCTTTAGCTCATTGAAAGGATTGGCCTTCTTTTGGTTTCCCCATTACCTGGCACGGTTGCTTAGCATGTAGGAGGTGCTCAGTAAATATTTATCCATTGAATGAGATCCAGGATTTCAGCATTTGCACTTTGGACTTTATCCAGTTTGAACGTGTTATCTGACCACCAGAACTTCCTGTCCTTTTGCCTAATTTTCAGGGTCTCCTCTGCTTGAGTCCTGAAAACACTACCTTTATAGGTGTGGAACAGCTGACCCACTTACCTGAAAGGAGCAGATGAAAGGAATTTGTTACCCCCCCCCAAGTATCTTATCTCAGAAAATTTTATTTTTATAGCATATGTATGTGGTTATATTTTAAAGTAAGATTTTGTCTATCTTAAGACGTAAGTACAAAGCATTTTGAGATACTTATTTCAGAATTATAAATGAGTGATTTTAGCATTTTAAAGCAATAGCTATCCCAACAAAATGGGTAAGTGCCTAGGACTGGAAAACAGGCTGCCTAGATTCTCACCCTGGCTCCACCATTTTCTTAGCTGTGAAACATTGTGCAAGTAATGCAATTCAATCTCCCCCAGCTTCAATTTCTTCTCTGTAAAATGGGGACCAAGCTTACTCAAATTTGGAGACAGTAACTGTCAAACTTCTAGAATAGTACCTGGCCCACAGTAAGCTTTCAGTACATTATTTTTAGCTACTGCAGACTACCTAGACCAGTTTTCAAACTGTGGTCCCTAAGCCAACAGTATCAACACCATCTAGGAACTTACTAGAAATGCAAACTTCTGGGACCTATAGAATCAGATCTCCTGAATGAGGAGCTAAGGGTGGGGCCCAGTAGGTGTTTTTATGCCAGAATCCAGTGATTCAACTGCACACTCATGTGCACTGACATAGACTAATTAGAATCCTACCAATCCTACCTTCTCAAAGAAGAAAAAAAAATCTAAAGCAAATCCATCTTATTAAAATAATTAAGATACCCTAAAGACTGAAAGTTACTTGACAGATGGCTTGAAATGTCCTTTCACAGAACTTACTGAAACTGAAGGTCTTAGCTGTCACCTATCCTAGAAATGAAACATACGGAATAAAAATCAGGGATGATCCTCAAATTTTGGTCATTTTTTTTTCAGTTTACCCCACTAAACCTTCTGGTGTTCCCTATATAAGTCACAGAAATGTTAGATTTCTATTATCCTGACTCCTACACTTACGACAAGTTGAAAGCGAACAAAAAAGGTTTGTAAAGTTGTCAGCAAGGGGACTTGAAAGGATGTTTTGGAAACCTATAAGCCTGAGGCAAAAAACCCTAACATCACTATGGCTTATATGCCAAGAGGATACTACTGATCCAGTTTTAGTTATTTTTATTAGTAACTATTAGTTATTTTTTGTATACTGGTTACACTAACTCATTCTTGCTTTTATGATTTGAGCAGATGGCTGGTTTTGTAAGGTTAAGCCGTGAGGAAAAACAGCAAACTAAAAGGGGCTACTTCAATTATTATAACAAGTCATTATACAAGACCCAAATGAATAGTGCAAGTAGTATCTGTGAATTTGAGCAATGCAATGAAATATATGTGGAAGAATCTTACCTAATAGGTTTCATTCTACCCCAAAGTTACTGAAGTCAGTCTACTAAATAGTTGTTCTTACAGAGACTCCATTGTCTTCATTTTGTTAGATGTTATTCTTGTTTTGTACCAGGGTAATATACATTTTGATTTCCTGATAATCTTGTACTTCTATAAAGACTGACAGAAATACCACATTTTCATCTTAGGGAAAATTAGAAGCTAAGAAAACAACTATTTAATTAATATTACTAGTTTACAGGTTCACTGAAGGAAAGCCTGTCCCAGATGTGTTTGCTTTTGTCCTATTTCAATTCTGTCTTCCTTAGAGCTTCTTGGTGCCTCAGTTTCTCCACCTATGAAATGAATACAGCCTTATCTGTTGCTGGAAGAAGTGTGTCAAAAGGTTTTAAAGACATAGGCATTATTTGAAGGCAATATAGTTTTATTTAAAAATACTAGTATTGTATTTCTTGCAGAGAGCTGCTGAAAGCTAGTTTTGGGGTTTTCTTTTTGCTTGTTTTTTTTAATGAATTTATTCTACGGATAGGGAAAATACCATTCTCAAAATCTAAATACATGTCCTGTGGTACATGATTCAAGTGAAGATATCAGTAAGAACTCATGCTCAGCTATATATATATATATATATATACACACACACACACACATACAGAAATCATTATAGATTGTACAAGGGTTAACATACATACGTATTTCCTAGCTCTGTTTGCTGGGAGGGTCTAGCAGCAGTGACACCCCAAGAGCAACAAGCACATCCAGCACCCAGATACTGGTTTCTAAGTTCCACTAGAAACCATTCTCCAATAACAGGAACCAGTGCTCTTTGGAGAAGAGGCTGATTCTAGTGCTGGAAATACACAAGGCAAGCCCAGAGCAACATTCCTACTTTCTTGCCAGAAAGTATGGAAGTGCTCAAAAATCAAAAGGATGGGGGCACATTAAAGACGCACAGGAGCCAACCTGACATAACTCCCAATAGCCGAGCTGGAACAACTTGAGCAATAAACATTACCCAAAGTCTAAAAGAAATATACATGAGTCCATACTAATATAAATAATTGACTAAATGGGAGGGGTGAGGAGACAAATCCTTCTTACAGAAAAATACCAAGTACTATATAAAGATACTCCCCCTTCCAGGAGGTGGAACAGAGTCTTGCGCACCCCCACCTCCCACAGACTGACTGACTTGGGGACTGGCTCCCAAAGAACAGAAGTATGGAAACGGAAAAACAGTAACTTCACGGTGGAGAAACCTGACAGACACTACTTTAACCAAGTATTCAGAGTTAACATATCAAGTTGATAACATTCAACTACTGATACAATTTGCTGAGAAGAACCCTTCATCACTTCTGTGGTTTTCTTCCTTAAATATCCATAACCGCAGTCCAATTCTGAGGGGAAACATCAGACAAGCCCAAACTGAGGGGCATTCTATAATACACCTGACCAGTATGCCTCAAAACCGTCAAGATTTTGAAAAACAAGCCTGTGGAACCATCGCAGACCAGAGGCTTATCAGACATGATGACTAAATGCAATGTGGTATCCTAGATTGGATCCTGGAAAAGAAAAATGACATTAGTGGAAAAACCAGTACAATCCAAATGAAGTCTAGAGTTTAGTTAATCGCAATTACCAATGTTGGTTTCTTAACAAATGTTTTCACGGTTATGTAAAATGTTAACATTAGGGGTAAGGAGTATACAGCAAGTCTGCATTATCTTTGCAACTTTTATGTAAATCTAAAATTATTCCAAGATAAAAATCTTAACATATAAAAACAGCTTCTACTGATCTTTGTATATAATTTATGACCATGAATTAAATATTCCATAGAATTCTGAGTCTGTCCTCTTGAGAAAGCCAATGCTGCCAAGAAAATCCATGAATTTATTGTAAGTTTAAAGTTACCTGGTCAAGTATTTCGATAGTAAATACTGGTAAAGATTACGGATAATGGCTTATAAAACTGTTACCTTTTAAAAAGTCTGAAAAGTATCAATTAAGGGTTCTAAACATTTATGTTAGAGCCCAGTTTGCTCAATTAGTCACAGGGATACCCTTGCCTTGTCTCACAGAGAACACATCTCTTAGCAGAAAAGCTCCATCATCTCAGTTTGGGAAGTTATTAGGTTTTTAGCAATGGTATCTATTCAAAGTGAGGAATGTGGCCCCTTCTCCAGAACATATTTTTCTCTCTGCCCATTTCTGCCTGTACTGACTTAAAAAAGAACCACTTCTTCTGCAGCTGTCCTTCTCTGACATTCCAAGCAGTTATATTAATAACTGTGGCTATAGGTTACCCACAAGCTTTCTGTGGCTTGGGATCGTAGGCAAGGGAAAGCGGACAGCCAGTGGTAGGCAAAGAGCAGTAGAGGAGTACAGCTGCGCTTTCCAAGGGGTGCAAAAGCTTCCAACACATAGAGACGTTTTCAGAGGCAGCGGAGGTCCTGGGATTTGCTTTCAAATATCTGCTAGTAATTTTCAATGTAAATAAGAAATCTACAAAAGATAGTTCTTTGCATCTTGCTTTACCATCCCTTCTGACTCCACAGTTAAAAGACTTAAAAAAAAATATCAAGAACAATATTTATTAAGACCACTATTAGGAAAAGGTTACAGACTTCTTAAAAATATACCTGAATCTACTATGAGGACCAAGTGCTAGAGAATGAACACCAAAGCATAGCGGCATATAATGTTCTAATGTGTATGTGAAAGAACTTTTCATTTGTCTCATTAAATCCACCTTTACTTCAATTTAGGCAAAGGTTATAGCAAAATGTGATATTTGTCATATGGATGGTTCATAAAATGCAAGTGGCTGTGCTTCTGATTTTTGTTCATGTCACCTTCTAGACACATTACATAATAGCTAGATATCCTGGTTTGCTCCCTAAGAGGCCACCAACTGATGGTTCCAATTTTATAAGAAAAAGAAACATGGAAACTCTGTCCTTATAACTAGTCTGGTCATTAATAGAAGTGCTCAATTGGCTACGGGAAAACAGCAGCATGTTATGTGTTAATTAAAACAGAGAAAAAATAAAGTCAGAGCCTTCCAGGAATAAATGTATATTTAAATTTTTATAGTAAACAAATACTTCTAAGTGAAGATTTTCCCATATTTCCAAATAAGATAATGTTCAACATACCTTGTAATCAGTTTTACATTTGACTTCATTGTTTTGGTAAATACAGTTGTGAAAACTGAGTTACAGACTCCTCCTTTTAAAATATTCTCCCCTTAACATGCACCTCTTTCTGAGGTTGGTCAAGACAATTCGGTACACTAAGGCAGCAACGTCCAGGAAGATCACCTCCCCCACTTTTTTCTTTAGTTTGAAGTTTTAATGTCAAAATAAAGTCTTAAAATAATCCTTTCACAAAAATAAGGCAGCATTATGCTGTAAAAACAGTAGTTCTTTGTCAAAGGCTATCTTCTTCTGTCCTTATCTGCTGTCACCAACTGTGAGCATCGTCTTTAAAGATCACTTTTTTCTTCGTGGCGACACCTACATGCGGCTCCTTGGCTGTCCAGGTACGGTTTGCAGCCTAAATGTATCACACTGTCAAACAAGAGCTCCACTGTGGTTTCACAGGCTGCAAGGTAAGAAAGTGCTGTTACTGCTGGGCAACTGCAAAGCACTGCTCTCCCTCCACATACATTACATGTTACAGCACAGTGTCAAGCACATCCTCGGTGGGCACTTAAACATCTGTTACGCCAACGTCCTCCCAAACCCTCATAGGCCCGAAGCACACACATACAGACTTTCAGTGTCAGCATCTTGAGCATGTAGCTACTTTTTTGTTTGCCCGCAACTGTTCAACCCGTTTTTTTTTCCTATGAGGCAAACGAGTCTCTCTCAATAACACTGATTAGTTCATCACTGTTACTTTCCCTTTTATCTGAAAAATACCACTATAAAGATGCCTTAGAACACTCTTAATTTTGCATTTGAAGGAAAGATATTTAGGTGTAGAAAAAAATAAAGGTTAAAAACAGAGAAACCTCAAGACATTTAATTACGGCCAATGACTTCTAAGAACTGATCACACATCATTAAAGATGCTTAAGGTAAATGGACCCTAGTCTCTTTCTCTCTCTCTCTCTTTCTCAATATCCCAATTCAGCCTAGGAAGGGAGACCTAGGAATCAAAAGTGTTTTTTCTCTAGCAGGGCTTAAAAATTTTTTTAGGACTATAAAAAAGATAATGGATTTACTTTTCTTATTCTAAGAAGCCTGGAACATCCAGGTGAGATTATCTTCATACACTTCACTTCCAGAGACACAGCACAGAGTAGCTTTTAGTCACCCATATACTTCCAGTTTCAAATATTCATGTTAAGGAAAAAACTCTTCGGGGTGCCTGGGCGGCTCAGTGTCTGCCTTCAGCTCAGGTCATGATCCCGGGGTCCTGGGATCGAGCCCCACATCGGGCTCCCTGCTTGCCAGGAAACCTGCTTCTCCCTCTCCCACTCCCCCTGCTTGTGTTCCCTCTCTCGCTGTCTCCCTCTCTCTCTGTCAAATAAATAAGTAGAATCTTAAAAAAAAAAAAAAAAAGGAAGTAACCATTCATCGCAAAATCCTGACATTTTCAAACTTCTCCAAAAGGCTGTGCCATTAAGGAACACAACCACCACAGAAGTGTAAAGGCTATAATTATTCAATAGGGCATTGAAAGGAAATTGGCTTCATCATTTAGCTGCATTGGTATGTCCTTAGATCAGAAGACAGGAAATACATCCATGTACGCTTCCGCTGTGCAACTAGTCTGCCTCAGCCGAAAGCATGCAAAGGATTCAAAGGCTGGGGGGTTCAAGCTGCACCTGGAGCAGAGCCTTCTTCCTTGACAGTTATTACTAGGAATTCAGAATCAGACCTATGACACTGTTTGGGGAATACTGCAGTAGACAGAACACAAGTTTTAAAATCGAAAGTATGCAACTTAGGACAAGTTACTTCTTTGAACCTCCTTTTCCCTTCTTGAAAAATGAGTATACCACTACCTACTTCTTTGGGTTTTTGTGGACATTGAGGAAAACATATCTAAAATACCTAGCATGGTACCTTATGAAAAATGCTTAAAAATGTATAGTTTCCTTTCTTGCACCTTCTCTTCTGATTTTGATGTATGATAAATACTTCGGCTTGACAGTGAAAAGATTTTGTAACTTCTAGTATTTGTACAGTGATTTGTATTTCCACAAACATCTTACTGTATCTTTATGACAACTCTATGAGATGGGTAGTATTTTATAAATGAGAACATTGATGCACCTTTACCCTTTGCTGACTTTGCTTCATATCCCTTTGCTCTGAGTAAGACTGTTATCCTGAATCCTGTGAGTCCTCCTAGCAAACCTGGGAGTTGTTTTGGGGACCATCCTGACACAGATACATATGAAGAGACAGTTAAAGCTCCAATCTTCTAGAACTTCCCACTATAAATCCTGTGTTATACTTTTAAAATCACTGGATCCAGGGTTTCAAACTTTAGGTTCCGGATAATTAGAGACAGACTACAGGGCACAAGATCTCGGATAAATTCTTCTCTGCCTCGCATACCCTCTTCCCAAGGTTTCCTAACACTTTTTGATACCATCTTCCGAAGGTTTCCTAACACTTTTTGCTTCCATGACCATAAATCATTTGGAGATGACAAAGTCAATGACTCCTCACCTCAAAAAATTGAAGGGGCTGTGTCACAATAGATATAGTAATACACAGCGAAAGATTTCCAGTGGTAAATCCTGTACTGAAACATAAAGCAGTCAGGCAATAAAACTTGACAAACTGCTCTCACCTCCATCCTGCTGGATCATCCTTACCCTGAACATGCTGAGCTAGTCCTAGTGTCTTCTGCACATCCCGGCAGATCTTAGAGAGGCAGTACTGGAATTCCTCATCACAGTCGTTCTTGCTTTTGCCACAGGTCTCATAGCACCTGTCATGTTGGTTGCAGCACTTTGTCAGGGAAGGGATGCCAACATTAAGCTGAAAGAGGCATTTGGATGGATTATTGTTGATGAAATTCGAAACTCCTCTGCGGAAGTACTGCATTCAAGTAGACTTAGAAATCAAGGAGGATGACTGCTGTGTAATTTTCCAAATCCATTTCTGTCTACAAATCTTTTCCATGTTATTCATACATCTGCCCATCACTCACCCGCATGCACCCATGTTCTCTCCCTCTCAGCCATGCCTCAAAACTCCCTATTTTGCAATATTCAGTTATCTGCTGGTAACAAATGTAACTTCCAATTGTCCAAAACACAAAACATAGTTTCAAAAACACAAAGGTCAGGCTAAGAGCAAAGACTGATTTTTGGACATTCCAATGTATTTGGTACCTCTCCCCCTGTAAAATGTACTTTATATGAAATATCACTGAAAACTTAAAAGTTTTAAGCTCCTACAACTTACAGTTTATGTTATTGTGGTTCAATCTTTAAGTATCTATTCCCTAAAGATACTGTTCCTTCAAATCTATAACTTATCTTTAACTGTTTTAAATAACTTTATATTGCAAAACCCGTGTCTAGGAATCACTCATAAACATTTTTTTTCCACAACAGTTGGCTCAGATTCAGCCTCGTCTACAAAACAAACACAGCTACCTTCCTTAGCTTTCCTTTAATACAGAAAATATTATGCTTTATCTATACTTTTTCATCTAAGTAGCATTACTTCTATACTCCAAACTTTTAAAACATGTTTGCAACATGAGGAAATATCTTTTCAATAGTATTAACATCTACAAGATTAAAAAATAAAACATGAATTTTATTCCATTTAGTTTTGTTAGGACTTATTAAATGTGTTTTAGCTATAAAAGAATATAATAAACCTAATTAACATTATAAGCAAAATTATTTGTGACCCTGAGAACACACTGACCATCTTGAATTATTAGGAGTACTACGTAGTTGGGGCACCTGAGTGGCTCAGTCGGCCGAGCAACCGGCTCTTGATTTTGGCCCAGGTCACGATCTCAGGGTCGAGCTGCTTGCTGGGCTCCACACTCAGCAGGGAGTCTGCTTGAGATTCTCTCTTTCCCTCTCTCTGCCCCTCCCCACCCTGCTTGTGCATGCTTTCTCTACTAAATAAATAAATCTTAAAAAAAGAGTACTACATAGCCTACTGATCATAAAACTTCTCAAATAAGAAAATAATAATATTTACATGAACACCAAACAGTGGAGAGCCACATCCATTCGGCGGGGAGGGTTTATAACCATAACGTGGGAAGGGCTTAGATCCTATAAAATATAAATGGTATCATAATTAATTTTCAAATATAAAAAACATGCAAAAAGGTCTATGAGGTACTACTAGACTAGCCTTGGAAATATTTAATATTTGGGTACTGACATAAGTGAATGTCATTATTCTAAGCCTATACCATACAAAACACGCAAAAGCTTACTCTGGACTTCAGGAGATTTCAGAGGTTATATGCCAGACTGGGTCCATATGTATGAAAGATAAATCCACCCTCTTTCCCTGTACATTTTAACACTTACATTTTTCGGTTAAAAACTTATAAGGCAAGAACTGTATCTTCCCAGTCTTCAGCCAATACTCCACTGCACACAAACCTCAATAACCATTAACTAACCAGTTTACTCATAGAGCTTAAAGCTAAGGAAGATAAGGTCATCCAACAAACATTTAATTGCCTCAATGCCATTATAAGACATTATAGAACCACACATTCTAGCCTGCACTCCAACCAACCATTTCACAAATACACTTCTTTGCCAGCTAAGGAAAAAGGTCAGGAATAAAGACAGCTTGGTGAGCCATCTTACTCCAGCTCTATTCTCCCTAACAGAGACAATGGTTCAGTAACCAGGAGAAAGATGACATTATCACAGCAATCTTAACTGCTGCAAAGTACTTCAAAAATATCTGTCCTCATGAAATACACAAATCACTTCAAGATACCAGTCACCTACTTTCTCTTGAATGTTTCCCACAATCCTCCTACAGTATCAAGAAATAGCCTATTCCATTGTGGAGTGGCACTAACTGTTAAATTCTTTCTTGTTTTCTTATGAGCAATCCTCTACCCCTGGGGAACGTAAAACAAACCAATTACATATTTTACATGATAAACCCTCCAACATTTCGGACTACCGTTCATCTTCAATTCTAAAAGCAAAACATCCCCTGTTATTCCAAATATCTCCCCATAGTTCCTTACTTAGGAAAAACACAAAGTATCTACCAACTTTCAGTCAACTAGTAATTATTACTAGAAGACTTAAATAAAGATGTTTACCCTCCAAAAGTAAAGTGAGGGGGAAAAAAAGCAACCCTTCCAGTAATCAACCATCAAAGTAAGTAACCCACTCAAAGTAAGGATCTAAAAATAGTTTAAGTGAGTTGCTAAGACTCACATGCTCGGCTGAAGTGATGAACTAGAGCCTAAAGAGAGTATAACTTTACGAAGCTTTAGCTGGCTCCACCCAGTCTAAAGAACAGTATGTACAAAGAGAATGGTTATGATGGATTAAGGAATGAGGAGGCCAATGGCAGAAGTTGGTTTTCTTTCTCTAGCACTGCCCAAGAAGGATGGTTGTTTCTGGGCCCTTGGAAAATGAAGGTACATACCTCAAGCTATCATGGATGAGTCACTGTGATCCTTCAATTCCTGCTTTTGGTCCTTCATTCTTAAGAAAACTGTTTATGATGGGGCGCCTGGGTGGCTCAGTTGGTTAAGCAACTGCCTTCGGCTCGGGTCATGATCCCAGGGTCCTGGGATCGAGCCCCGCATCGGGCTCCCTGCTTGGCGGGAAGCCTGCTTATCCCTCTCCCACTCCCCC